TCTTTAGTTTTTTTGAATTGATTTGGAGTTATATCCATAGGAGTAGCAGAGCCAGGACCAGAAGTTGGAGGAGGTGTTATAGATCTTGGAGGAAGTTGATAGTGACGAGAGGTAAAAAGAGTATGATAGGTTTTACAAAGGCATTGAATAACAGAAGGTTGATGAGGTGCTTTAAAGTAGTGAATTTTGTTTTTTCCATTGCATTCAGTTGGGTGTACGGCAAATTGGATAGGCTTAATTTGTTGTAAGTTGTTTTCTTTGGTCATGACACCAAAACGGTCACCATATCTAGCTAAAAAATAATCCAAATCATATTGATCAGGTTCTTGATTAATAGAGGTCGGCATGATTGCTTTGGATTTAAAAATAAATTCAATATAGGGATTCTTGGGTCCGAGCGAATTAGAATGATATAGGGTGTGACAAATAAGAGGTGTGATAAATTAAAGGATGTGACAAATAAGAGAGTGTGACAAATAATAGGGTATGATAGATAAGGGAAGTGACAACTAAAGAAGTGTCACAGGTAGTACGTTGTACTTTGTAGATCTTTCTGTAGATCAGAGCGACGTTAAGCAAATTTGTGTAAATTTACAAAGAATACAGATTTGTAATCACAATAAAATAAAAATAGGTTGTGTAATATGGATTAGTAATCCTGTTTAGGCGGGTTTGGACAGGAGTAGGCTAGAGCAGACCCCCAAAAAAAAGAGAAAATTTAAAAAATAAAAAATAAAAAATTTTGCAAGAGAGTTTAAAGTATTTTGTTAATAAATCGATCAGTTTTAAACCAGTTTTGATAATTAATATATCAAAATGAAGCTATAAATGAGCTTTATCTTTTTGTTCTAATGAGCTAGAGTGCTTTGCTTAATAAATTTCTAAGATAAACTTGATAGAATTGTTTTAGTATTTAATATATATATCTCTTTAAATAAAGGACTTAGAGATATAAAACTAGGCCGCCTAAGTATAAAATTATGCTAGGAACAACTTTACTTAGACGCCCAGAAGTAGTTTACTTAATAAAATATCGAGTAATAGACAGTTTTGTACTGTAGAGATTTGGTACAAGTGATTGTTGGAAAGAGTTAATGATTTGCCATCCTAATTAGAAAATTATTAGAAATGGGTAATATTAAATTTCTATATATTACACTGCTATTTCATTTATACAAACTATATATAAAATGCTTGATTATATATCAAAATATTATGACTAAGATTTTTCTTTGTTTTTAACAATAGGTCTTCTAAAAATATATAACTCTAGATTAAAACACAACCAATTCAGCTAACTATAATAACAATTTAAATAGTTATAAGTTAATATATAAAAGTAATTGTTACTGCTATTGTTAATGTTCTAAATAAAAAATTATTATATATTAAAAATATTTTCTTGAGTCTATTTATAAAAATATAATAAGCTTAAATCAGATTATTTTTTTACGAAATATTATACATAGTAACAAATACCTATATGCATAAATAAATAAAACTGGTATAATATATTTACTAATAAAATATAAGATTTTGTTATATAGATAACTAATATATAAAAAAATACGTATAAGTATTGCAGATATATACAATTCAAGAATAAACAGATAGAAATTAGAATATTTATAATTGATTATAATATTCATATTTTAAAATTTACTAATTCTAATTATATACAATATATTTTATCATAATTATCTATCTTAGCTTTTAACAATAAACTAATGCTTTATTTTCATTTTTCTTAATTCTAATTTCATATTTATAATATAATTAAGCTAAAATATTTAGATTGGATTATCATAATTATAAATTTCATTCAATAAATATATTTTATTTTTAATTCTATATTTGTAACAATAGCCAAGCCAAATATTTTGGCCACTATTTATTTCTGCAGAATTTCGATGATTAATGATAAATTCTTAATTGGGTCCTGATATTTTCATACCCCCTTTTTGATATTTCTATATTTATATAGATCTCTTTTTTTTAAAACTTTAATCGAAGATATCTTGACGACTACCTGACCAAATTCAATAAACTTTTTTTTATTGAATTCTACAGACTTGTAGAATTCAAATAAAAAAAATTAATCAAATTTGATTAGGTGGTCATTGAGATACCTTTGATCAAAGTTAGAAAAAATTTTGCTATAGCTATTATTTTGATAGATGTTTAGATTTTTTTAAAAACTCTGATTAAAGGTATCTTGATGACCATCTAACCAAATTCAATGGATATTTTTTTATTTAAATTCTACAAGTCTGTAAAATTCAAATAAAAAAAAATTTATCAAATTCGGTCAGGTAGTTGTTGAGATACCTTCGATCAAAGTTTTTAAAAAAATCTAAACATCTATCAAAATAATAGCTATAGCAAAATTTTCTCTAACTTTGATCGAAGGTATCTTGACGACCACCTGACAAATTTGATAAATTTTTTTTTATTTGAATTCTGCAGACATGTAGAATTCAAATAAAAAAAGTTCATCAAATTTGATCAGGGGTCGTCGAGATATCTTCGATCAATGTTTTTAAAAAAATTTAAATATCTATTAAAATAATAATCACGACAAAATTTTCTCTACCTTTGATCAAAGGTATCTTGACGACCACCTGACCAAATTCAATGAATTTTTTTTTATTTGAATTCTACAGACTTGTAGAATTCAAATAAAAAAACATCCATTGAATTTGGTCAGGTGGTTGTTGAGATACCTTCGATCAAAGTTTTTAAAAAATCTAAACATCTATCAAAATAATAGATGCAACAAATTTTCTCTAACTTTCATCAAAGGTATCTCAACGACCACCTGACTAAATTTGATGAACTTTTTTTTATTTGAATTCTACAAGTCTGTAGAATTCAAATAAAAAAATTCATCGAATTTGGTCAAGTGGTTGTTGAGATATCTTCGATTAAAGTTTTAAAAAAAGAGATCTATATAGATATAGAAATATCAAAAAAGGGGTATGAAAATATCAGGACCCTTCTTAATTTTAATAATAATAACCAAGCAAAAATATTATCACATGGTCTATTCATACCTGCATATTTTTGATAATAAATAGATATACTATATTATCTTTCTTAATTCTATTCATAATAAGAATGAAACCAAAATATTTCTATTAGAAGCTACCCAAGCTTAAACTAATTAAGCATAACAAATATCAGAAAATATAACTAAAAATATATCATACCTATTGTTGGCTGTATTCAATTCAACCTGCTCATGACTGCTCACAATATAATAGAAAAAAAGTTATTTTTGAATTTTAAATAAAAAATTTACTTAATCTAAAATACTACTAATCTTAAATAAAACCAAAATACTTACTTTCTTAGCAGATAATAAATTGAAAAAAAAGATATTAATAAAAAAAAATTAGATTTTTAAGTTATATATCTGATACATATTACTGCATTTGTACGATTTTGATTGGTTTATCAATTTGCCTGATAAATTTCAAAATGATTTTGTGATTTATATTGATTTATATGATTTATATCAAAAATATTTATCTGATCAAAACAGCTTTTTATATTATTTTTCTTCTAGTATAAAATTTTATTAAGATAATAGTACTTCTTTTTTAAGCAAAAATGGTTTTAACTTGATTTTAAATTAGTTAAACTCAAAAAAAAAAATTTGAAAATTTTTTAATTTGGTCTTTTTTCTTAGCACTTAGTCTATATAGTCAATAAACTTTTTTTCAAAGATATCTCACAATCTACTAAACCGATTTTGATGATTTAACTATTATTAGAATAATTTTGATAAGCTTTATAACTTTAATTAAAGACTCAAAGATAATTAACTTAGTACAAAAAAGTTTAGACCTCAAATATATTTAAATAAGTTCCATACAAACAATGCTTTGCATTTATCTAATTGTATTGTTATTAATTTGCATATGATTAAAAAAATGAAAATTTATTGTGGAGCTAATGCTAAAACCAGATGATGCTGAAAATTTTTAATATTTTATTATAAAATTGTAAAATTTTTTAAAGCCTTTTTTGTAGTCTTTTTTGTTATAGTTAGGTTAGGTTTAGGGAGTAGTATTTATTAATAAAAAAGTATATATGAATTTTAGTAGGTTTTATAGATTTAAAGAGACCCCAGGCAGAAACGGTGAATAATATCAATTTGTATCGATCATATATAACCTGATATTTTTAGACCAAATCATAGAAAAATCAATATTTTTGCAATAGGGTGTTTCAAAATTAACAAATAAGTGACATATTTCGAAAATAAGTAGGATTTTTTCAATAGCATTTTTACTATGTTGAATTATAAATCAGAAAAATAAAATAAGATTCTCTGATTTTAATTTTGAAACCTCTTAATGTAACAATATGCACTCGGGCAAAATTAAAAGTATAATTCAGACTGGGCAATATAAATTTGGTCAACTTGAACTGTCAGTAAGCTTCAGTAAAGTAGACAATTAATGAACATAGGGCAGGATTTTATTTACTGATTACGTTATATCACGTTATCTGTAACTGTTATACAATATTTTGGCCAATCAGAGGTATATCGATATTATTGTGTATAAGTCACCATGATCACATGATAATCTGAATATATATATATCAACACTGCAATAGTAAAACACTGCAGTAATGAAATACTGTAAATCAGAATAGAAACGACAACTTTCGTCTTATTGGCACTATTATAGCAATACAAATCATTGGAGCCTTTATATTTTTAATTAACAAAGTGAAGAAAATGCTTCATGAACCACTTCAAGCTTGGAAAAAATTGAACAAACCAATCATACGTCATTTTCGTCCAATAATTTATTCATATTTGATTGAAATGAAAAATCCGTTTGTTAAATGCATTCGTAAATTTTAATTATTATTTTTTTTACTCAATTCAAGGTTTAGTATAATATGATAGAACCATGAATTTATATAAAAATAAAAATAATTTGTCTATTTTATCTATTTATTCAAATAAATATATGAAATAAGATATGCGTATAACAAGTCTTGAGGAAGGATCTTGTTCAGGAGTATTAAAGGTATCAAAGCTTGATACTGTTTTAACCATTCGAAAAAAAATAATCATCAAAAAAAAATGAATTTGTTCAATAGGAACAAAGAAAAATATATAACCCATTTAATAGCATTCATGCGACAGCCCTTTGCACGTTTGCCGAGACGGTTGAAGGACTTGCTATGCTTACTAAATTAACAAAAAATCATAGGGCTATTGTTACAAGAATTAATATAGAGGTTTTTTTCCAACCGTATAATTTTTTTTTATATTTATTATACAGTATATTATTATTGCTGGATTATTACTGATCAATTCATCTTTTACAATAACAAAGTATCATAAAAAAGCAAGAGGTGAATAATGATATCAATGATTCTTTATTTATCAAAGGAAGAAATTAATTTAATAATATATATATATAGGAATAATCACAGGTACTAGTACTTTTAATCCTGAAGAATTGATTGGAACTCAAGAATGCGAAACTATTCTCAAAGATCAATCATTGGATATTGTCGCAAAAGCGACCATATTTTGGAATATTCGTAGCTCTTTAAATCAAAATTGATCATATGAATAAAATTAAAAATTTTTTATGCCCTGTTAGGATAGCAATCTGGTACTACTTAAATAAGAATTTAAGCTTGAAATTACATCACAGATAAATAACAAAATTTTAAGGTTGTAAATCCCTTTTTTTGTTTTGAGTCATAGGTTTTATTATTTATATGCTTAAAGTATCGTATAATAATAAATAGTACGTATAAACATTATTCCGTAAAACATGGTATGTAAAATATAGGTGAATTTACAAATAAGGCCCGGAAAGTGAAAATAATTACAAATACGGGCCCAAATTAAAAATAATTACATATAAGGCCTACTTTTTAAAAATATTACATATAACGATTGCAAAATCGCGATTATAGGATTATCGATTGGTTTATTATAGGTATTTAGAGTTATCTATATACCGATTATTAGATAAATAAAGCTCTGGTTATAATCATTTTCATTTAAATATTGTATAAAAAATAGCGTTGAACTAGCACAATTATTTATAAGGCGAAGAAGTTTCAACCGAGTAGCTCTCTAGAGCTGAACGAACATCTTCCATATTAGTAAATATTATGCCAATTCGTAATGCTTTACTTGACATCATAGTGGTTTGTTATAACAAAAAACAATTTATACAAAGAAACAATTTCTCATTTATAATTACAGGTTACCCTCGTTAATATCAACCTATTTGAATTAGGTTTAAATCATGTTGATAGTGATATTAACGAGAAATCATATTAAAGTTGATATATAAAAATTTATAAAAATTTGGTTTGTGGCTTAGGTTGATATTAACGAGGTTGATATTGCCAGGGGTAACCTGTACTAATTTACAATCGATCGATACATTTTTTTATGCGCTTAATCATCACATTTATGATGCTTACGTTTCTTATGCTAATAACGATCAAAATAACGTCGCAGTTATTTTGGGCCCTTATACGTATCATAGCAAAAATTGCAATTTATAACAATTTTAACTTTCCGTAATTGCAGAATTGCATATTAATTTAAT